TTTTTATAAAGACAGGGTTTCACCGTATTGGCCAGGCTGGTCTTGAACTCCTGACCTCAGGTGATTCACCGGCCTCGGCCTCCCAAAGTGCTGAGATTACAGGCGTAAGCCACCACGCCCTCCTGCTTTTAATTCTTTCATTTGCTCAGTCGTTCATTTAACAAGCACTCATGTAGTGCTTATATGTCCCAGGCCCTGTGCTCGGCGGTGTGAATATAACTAACCTGTTCTCTGGCCTCCCTTCATTGGTAGTCTCTGGGGACCCTGGTCCAGGTGTTTCAGGACATTTCCTGGTGCTGTAATATTAGCTCCCTTCTTGCAGGCTTCAGAGAGTCCTTCCTTTGTTCCCTGGTTCTGGGCCACCCCGGGGAAGTCTGTCTATTCCCTCTACCACGTCCTCTCTCTTTGGGAAGCACTCATCCTTCCAGACTCAATTTGGCCAAAACTCTGCTTTTTTCTAGCCCCATCTTTTTTTTTTTTCAGATCAACTTTTAAAATTATTATTATTGTACTTTAACTTCTAGGGTACATGTGCAGAACGTCCAGGTTTGTTACATAGGCATACATGTGCCATAGTGGTTTGCTGTACCCATTAACCTGTCATCTACATTAGATATTAAATATTTCTCCTAATGCTCTCCCTCCCCTAATCCCTTACCGCTCAACAGGCCCCTGTGTGTGATGTTCTCCTCCTTGTGTCCATGTGTTCTCTTTGTTCAACTCCCACTTATGAGTGAGAACATGCAGTGTTTGGTTTTCAGTTCTTGTGTTAATTTGCTGAGAATGATGGTTTCCAACTTTATCCATGTCCCTGCAAAAGACATGAGCTCATTCTTTTTTATGACTGCATAGTATTCCATGCTGTATATGTGCCACATTGTCTTTATCCAGTCTATCATTGATGAACATTTGGGTTTGTTCCACGTCTTTGCTGTTGTGAATAGTGCCACAATAAGCATACATGTTTGTGTGTCTTTATAGTAGAATGATTTATAATCCTTTGGATATATACCCAGTAATGGGATTACTGGGCCAAATGGTATTTCTAGTTCTATATCCTTGAGGAATTGCCACACTGTCTTCCACAATGGTTGAAATAATTTACACTCCCACCAACAGTGTAAAAGTGTTCCTATTTCTCCACATCCTCTCCAGCATCTGTTGTTTCATGAATTTTTAATGATCGCCATTCTAACTGGTGTAGCATGGTATCTCATTGTGGTTTGGATTTGCATTTCTGTAATGACCAGTGAAGATGAGCTTTTTTTCATATGTTTGTTGGCCACATAAATGTCTTCTTTTGAGAAATGTATGTTCATACCCTTCACCCACTTTTTGATAGGGTTATTATTATTATTATTTTTTGTAATTTTGTTTAAGTTTTTTGTAGATTCTGGATATAAGTCCTTTGTCAGATGGATAGATTGCAAAATTTTTCTCCCATTCTGTAGGTTGCCTGTTCACTCTGATGATAGTTTCTTTTGCTGTGCAGAAACTCTTTAGTTTAATTATATCCCATTTGTCCATTTTGGCTTTTGTTGCCATTACTTTTGATGTTTTAGTCATTAAGTCTTTGCTCATGCTTATGTTCTGAATGGTATTGCCTAGGTTTTCTTCTAGGATTTTTATGGTTTCAGGTTTGATGTTTAAGTCCTTAATCCATCTTGAGTTAATTTTTGCATAAGGTCTAAGGAAGGGGTCCAGTTTCAGTTTTCTGCATATGGCTAGCCAGTTTTCCCAACACAATTTATTAGATAGAAATCCTTTCCCCATTGCTTGTTTTTGCCAGATTTGTCAAAGATAAGAGGGGTGTAGATGTGTGGTGTTATTTCTGAGGCCTCTGTTCTGTTCCACTGATTTATATATCTGTTTTGGTACCAGTACCATGCTGTTTTGGTTACTATGGCCTTAAAGTATAGTTTGAAGTCAGGCAGCGTGATGCCTCCAGCTTTGTTATTTTTGCTTAGGATTGTCTTGGCTATGTGGGCCCTTTTTTAGTTCCATATGAAATTTAAAGTAGTTTTTTTCTAATATTGTGAAGAAAGTCAATGGTAGCTTGATGGAGATAGCATTAAATCTATAAATTACTTTGGGCAGTATGACCATTTTCACCATTTTCACAATATTGATTCTTCCTATGCATAAGCATGAAGTGCTTTTCCATTTGTTTGAGTCCTCTTTTATTTCCTTGATCAGTGGTTTGTAGTTCTTCTTGAAAAAGGTCCTTCACATCCCTTTTAAGTTGTATTACTAGGTATTTAATTCTCTTTGTAGCAATTGTGAATGGGAGTTCACTCATGATTTGGCTCTTTGTTTGTTTATTATTGGTGTATAGGAATGCTTGTGATTTTTGCACATTGATTTTGTATCCTGAGACTTTGCTGAAGTTGCTTATCAGCTTAAGGAGATTTGGGGCTGAGATGAGGGTTTTCTAGCCCCATCTTTAAGGCTTTTGGGCTTCTCTTTTGCCTACAGGCATGGCATCTCTCTAGGATCTTAGTTCTTCTAAGGAAACTAGTTTGTTTCTTCTGTAAGATACTTATAATTCACAGAGACATTTCTATTATGGAATTTGTATTGAGATAAGATTTCACTCCTCTCTGATCATCTTGTTGGATGATTAGTTATGATTTACAATTTTTCTACTGCACCATCTTCCTTAAAACCTGAGATACTCATCACCTATAGGATTTCAGTAGTTTTGTGTTATTTTCTTTCTTGACTACCTCAGAGGAAGAAACAAGCAACACCAAATCACAAGCCACTGAGATTCAGAGTGACTGAAGGGCGAAGAGTTTCCCACTGAATTATAAGAACACGCGGGTGCTTCATTCATGTGATCATGAGGTGGGGTTCCTGGTCACTTGCTTGCAGACTCTAATTAATTCTTTTCTTTGTTCAGTGCTCCTCTTTTCCCAGAAAAGTGCTGGAAAAGAAACACCAAAAATGCCCAGCTTTCTGCCAAGCTGTAAACAAGGTAATAATGTCTAGATAAAAGCTTTGTTTTCTGATCTTCTAAGAAGAAAAGGAGACAGGTAACTGAGCTCTGAGGAAAGACCACACTGATGGAGGTGGTGGCAGAGGTGGATGACGGTCACTTTGTGTTGATTCCAAAGTGACGTGACTCCAGCTGGAATCCAAGAATACTCTCAAGAGGTGGCAAAAAGAGGCTTTCTGCCCAGTAGCCTGGAGGCTGGAATGAGGATCTGAGTGTGAATTGTAAGTTTGTAGGAGACCTTCAGTGAGAAGCTGTGAAGGGTAAGAAGGATGCACCTATGGCCAACAACGTCAAAGAAGATACTCTTGGTGATGCCAGAAGGGGCTGATTTAAACGTGGCATGTTGTTCAGGAGAAGGAATATTCAAACAGAAAGGTAGTCATGCAGAGAGACACAAAGAGGAAGTGATGCAGATGCAGAGAACAGTATGTAGGTATTCTGAGAGAGAGAGAGAGAGAGAGGAAGAAGGAGGGGAAATGAAAGACGGTAAGCAATAAAAATAACCGTGTTGTTAACAGCTCACTGTGATCGAACACCTACTCCATGGCAGCTGTGGGTTTAGTGCTCATGGCTGCAATTGGAGATTAGTATTATTTATGTGTCCATTTTGCAGATTAGGAAACTGAAATCCAGAAGGACAATGTATGGGGTTGCCTAGCGTCAGTTGAGCAAAGATGAATCCAGAGCCTGTGTTGTTGTTTTTGGAGGGAAGGAGGTAAAATTCAGATGTTAACCATTTAAAAAGTGTGCAATTCAGTGACATTTAGTATATTCACAATGTTGTACAACCATCACCTCTCTCTAGTTTCAAAATGGTTTAATTACCCCAAAAGGAAACTCTGTGCCCTTTAACCAAGCATCTAATTTCCCTCTTCTCGGAATCCCTGGCAATCAGTAATCTACTTTCCACCTCTATAAATTTGCCTACTCTGAAGAATTCATGTAAATGGAATCACACAATATGTGGCCTTCTGTGTCTGGGCTTCTTTCACTTAACAAGATGTTTTCAGGTTTTATCCATGTGGTGACATGAATTAGAATCTCAGTTCCTTTTGATGACTGAATACTATTCCATCACATGGCTATACCACATTTTGTTTATTCATTCATCAGTGAGTGATGAGCTGTTTCCATCTTCCAGCTATTGGGGTAGAAGTCACATTCTTCTTGTTGCCCAGGGAATCTAATGGAAAAGATAGAAACAGAAACATGGAACAAAAATGGGGAAATAGATGCAGAAAAAAAGATCTAGAGAAAAGACTACAAAGAGTGGGAGGAAGTGGAGCGACTCAAACTCTGAGTCCTCAGGGAAAGGCCAATGAGAAAGTGTGAACAGATGTGGAGAGGGAGAGTATGATATAAAAGGGGGTGGGAACGAGGCAACTAGGACTTCACAGGAACTGAGCTAAGGGCCCTGGGCAGAGCAGCTCTGGGGACAAAGGCAGATTCACTCTACCGTCGTCGGTTACCTGAGTGTCCATGAAGGACACTTAGCAAGGTCGTCTGGCCAAGGCCCTCTCAGCCCAGGGTGCAGTGACCCAGTCCTCCACTCCTGGGGCTGGAGTCTGTCTTTAAGAATCAGGCAGGGTTGGGCATGGTGGCTCATATTGGTAATCCCAGCACTTTGGGAGGCTGAGGTGGGCAGATCACTTGAGGCCAGGAGTTCGAGACCAGCCTTGCCAACATGGCGAAACCCCATCTCTACAAAAAAATACAAAAATTAGTCAGGCATGGTGACATATGCCTGAAGTCACAGCTACTTCTCCCAAGTAACTAAGACCATAGACATGTACCACCACACCCAGCTAATTTTTAATTTTTTGTAGAGATAGGGTCTTACCATATTGCCCAGGCTGGCCTTGAACTCCTGGGCTCAAGTGATCCTCCCACCTCAGCCTCCCAAAGTGCTGGGATTATACCACACCTGGCTGTGAAGACCCTTTTCAAAGCCTGACCTGGTTGTGCTCAGATTCTTCATCTTCTGTTGGTCTGTTCCTGTTGACTGTGCTGTGATCCTCTGCTGTTCTTGCCCCATTCTGGAATGTGCTGGGGGTAAGGGAAGAAAGGGTTGCCTCTTTGTGTTTATGATTACCCCAAAGTTTTAGTGTTTGTATCTGCAGTATCTCCAGGTTCCGGATTTAAATAACAAGTCCTTTTCCTCCAGGTTTCCTGGGAGGGCTTCTTCCTCCCACACCCCTTACACACACTTGCCGCTGGTTCCGGCTGGTGCTGAGCCTGCTCGTTTTACCCATGTGTCTGCTTCACCATTTTCTGCCTGTGTCTGCTTGAATCTGGCTGTTGCCTTGGTGCTTTGAGCATACATCCAGTGATGGCCCGCGCTGTGGTGGCGGGAGGCATGTTCCTTCTGTGGGACGGACTATCTTCCCTGTTGGGTCCTTCACATAGGACCATGGCACCACTGTGCCTCACACTCCCTCACCCTTCATCCCTGGGGCAGGCAGCTAGGAGCTACCTTTCAGATACCAGATGAGCCTCTTCAAAAGCTCTTTTGTACTTTTGTGCCACAACTAGTCACTGTTTCTAGATTCTCAGTCATCTTCTTGTTTACATTTTTCCTAATGTTCCTCATCATTAGACCATATAGTCCATAACAGATTTTATTTCTTTGTTCAGTGTTTCATGATCACTTTTTCTGAAATGAATGACATAGAGGAAGTATAAGAGAACTCTCGGAACTGTGGAAGGTCATTCTGATGCCATTGATAATTGGGACCTATGATTGGAGAGGATATTTGATTAATTTCTGAATGCATTTAAATAAAAACTTTAGGTTTTGATTTATGACATCACAGTGTCATATTCATAAAATCATAATGTCACCTAGGGGCCATCTGATCTGGAACCAGAACAGAAACCTCTGAGCCTGTCTGGGATGTGAAGTCAACATGTATAAAGCTAGAACATTCTATCTTTGGCCCAGGTGATGCTCTTGGAACACAGCAGGCAAACACATGCAGTCAAGTAGGTAAGGCTGATGACGGCCAGGTGTTTGCATGGGTGACTAGTGGTAGGCATCTGTAGCACACACAGAAAGGGGAAGGCAGTGCTGTGTCACTTGATCAATATCTAAAAAAGAGATCCCAAGGACTCCTGAATGACAGTAGAAGGATAGATCGGTGTCCACTGCAGGCAGACAGTGACATAATGGAAAGAAAGATATGTCTTTTAGTTGCTGTGAGGAAGACAAGGTGAAAAAAACACAAAGAGACAGAGGGAACAGGACTGGAGCCTGATCTGTAGGTTGGAAGAGATGTAGGAGAGAGGTGAGAAGGGAAAAACAGAGAATGAGGAACATGTACTCCTGCAACACTGCTGGAGAGGAGAGAGAGGCAGATGCACTGGGAGATAAGAGAGAAGCTGGCGAAGTCCACGATGCAGAAATGCCTTCCTAGGGCAGAAGCCTGGGGTTTGGATCCTGGTGGAAGGCTGAGCAGGAGACAGAGAGCGAGAGAGCAACGTCTGACAAGAGGGGAAGAGGCAGAGCTGGGCTTGGCTGGATCCTCGGAGAGGGACATCGCCTCCCCAGTAGCAGTTCCCTTCTGCTCCCAACCACAGAGCTCAGTGTGGTCACATCTCCCGGCCACGGGATCTGGTCTCACATTCTGTGTTCTTTCTACTCAGTGCCTAGGGAACACAAAGTTCTCCAAGTAAAAAGGGAGAGAGGGTCAGAAGAGATGCCCAGCGGACTGCCATGTGGTAGGCAACGTACTGCAATTGAATCCCGCCCTTTAAGTTACCTGATTAGATCATGGGGTGGAGGGAGGAAGGGCTTCTCTTCCTCCCACCCCTCCCTCCCTCCCCCATAGGAGCCCAGCCTCTGGCTGCTTTTGAATTTGTGAGGGAGGCAAGCAGGACGAGGCATGTGATGTGCCCCGCCTTACCATTGTCAGAGGTTCTCACTGGCGGGAGCCTGAGAGTAAGTGCCCTAAGTCTTCCAGGCAGGAGACAAAGGAGGGCTGAATGCCTCCCTGAAGCATGGCACCCTGGGTGGAGAACCTGACAGCATGAGTATGGAAAAGGTGGATGATTGGGTCATGGAATAGCAAGTTTCAGCAGTGAGTCCAGTTTTACCTAAGTGGACATGACATCCAGGCTTTCCCAGGTTGGTGGAGGATTGACAGGGAGACTTTTTGTCCTGCTTGCTAGAAGTTGCCACAAGATCAGACAAACAACGTGTATGACTATCAGATTTGCAATGAAGAAAGGCTATTGTAGATGACCTTCAGAATGGGGAGGGCAAGGGGAAGGGGCCCTGGTGGTACAGTTAAAGCCAAAAAAGGAATGACGTGACTTTTGAGACAAGGACAAGATATAGGAAGAAAATGCTTGGAAGAGTCGAGGCAGACAGAGCGTCAAGGTCAAGGGAAGCCTCAAAGATACAGAGACAGAGGGGAGGAAGTAAGAGACATGGCAGAGAAGAGATAAACTGAAAACTCAAACAAGGGACAGTGAGAAAAATCATACGGAGAGAGAAACATAGAGGGAAGAGTAAATACCAGGAAAAGAGAAAGTAGGGGAGAGGCATGAAGGAGCCAGGAAGAGAGAGCGAGTGTGAAGAGCAAATAAGAAATGTGGAGGTCAGTGTGGGAGGGAGAGAGGAGACATATTCTTCCATGAAACCACATCCTCCTCCGTATCCCCTTCCTCTCCTCTTCCAGAGTTCCCTTTTTGGTAAAGTGGCCATTACTGTCAAGTTTTCTCAAGCAAGAAACTCAAGAATCCTCCTGAGTTCTTCCCTCCCTCAACCCCCAAACCCCATCAGCCATCCAGCCCTGTGCACTGTACCTGTTGGCATTTGCAACCTGACCATTTTTCTCTATCCCTAATGCTGTGATGTGAATCAGATCTCTGAAAACTCTCCCATGAATGTCAGCTGCCACATCTTAAAGTTCAGGTGTGTGTGTGCTGTCTTCCTACCTACCCTCCAATGACTGGCATGACACTTGGATTTAAGTTGATCCTTTGACTGCGCTTCCAAGGCTGGGCAACGAGGACCCTTCCCATTTCTCCAGCCTCTATTCTCTCACTCCAAGAAGTCATACTGATTTCTTTTAGTTACTCAGGTTACTTTGCCCATGCTCTGTCCTCTATCTGGATCTGTTTTCTTGGCCTCTATCCTTCTCATCTCCTCCCTAATCTGGCTCCTTCCTGCTCACATGATATTTCCTCCCACAAGCCTCATCTTGTCTCTTGGACGAGCCTGTCTGTTCCAGAGCACTTCCTGCTTGCTGTGAGATAATACTCCTGCCTCGTTGCGATCATGTGCTTAGCATGTGCTCTCTCTGGACCACGGCTGTTTATTCTCACTATGTCCTTCCAACCTAGCATGAGGGTGTCTGACATATAGTAAAGGGTACGCTTCATATTTGTCAGGAAATGAAAGTACTCATATTTTTGTGCCCCAAAAACTGGACACATATTTTGGCATACGTGACATTACTGATGCATTTATATGGAAAGCTTCACAAAAAATAGTTCTAATAATTTTATTTTATTCATTTATGAGACAGAGTCTTGCTATGCTGCCCAGGCTAGAGTGCAGTGGTAGGATCTCAGCTTACTGCAAGCAACATTCCGCCACCTGGGTTCAGCAATTCTCCTGCCTCAGTCTTCCTAGTAGCTGGGATTGCAGGTGTGTGCAACCACACCTGGCTAATTTTTGCATTTTTAGTAGAGACGGAGTTTTGCCATATTGGCCAGGCTGGTCTCAAACTCCTGACCTCATGATCTGCCTGCCCCGGCCTCCCAGAATGCTGGGATTACAGGCATGAACCACCATGCCCAGCCTATTTATTTTTATGTATTTATTTTTGAGGCAGAGTCTTGCTCTGTCATCCAGGCTGGAGTGCAGATGTGCAGTCTTGGCTTACTACAACCTCCGCCTTCTGGGCTCAGTCAATTCTGCTGCCTCAGCCTCCTGAGTATCTGGGATTATAGGCATGCACCACCATGCCCAGCAATTTTTGTATTTTTAGTAGAGATGGGGTTTCGCCATGTTGGTCAGGCTGGTCTCGAACTCTCTACCTCAGATGATCTGCCCACCTTGGCCTCCCAAAGTGCTGGGATTACAGGTGTGAGCCACCGTGCCCAGTCTAAAAATTATATTTATATGTACATGTACATGTAATAAGCTACTTTTGTGGAAATAAGTATATGAATTAAGAACTTAAGGTCTTTACTAAGGATTAAGTTAATTAAATGAAGAACATAAAATTCAGCCAAGACAATTATCAGTTAGTAAATAAGAATGGCAGGTAAAGGGAAAAGAGAAAACAAAATAGAGTTCAAGGTAAAAAGATAAATACTGAGAGAAAGACAGAAAGTAAGAAACGTATCTGGAGTGACGCAGTATGAAAGGAGGTGAAATTTAGTGCCAGAGTGATCCTCTGAGGTCAAGTGGGGAGAGAGAGAGGAAGAGGGGCACCATGAGGTTGGCTTTTTTTGAGGGGGAAAGATGAAAATTCTTCAAGGATTATTATTTGTTCTAGGGGCAAAGCTATTCAGATCCAAAAATCGGGTGCAACCTAGTTTTGTGCACCTGGAAGACAAACAGATGGCAAGAACGGCGTGTAATCAAGTCCCCGAAATAATTGGTAAGGCTGGCAGAGGGTGTCTGTGATGCGGTGACACTGTGTGAGTCACAGCAGAGGTGACAGGCTGGGTGTGTGGTCAGAGTCCTACGTGGTGGCCCAGGGGAGCCTGATGAATGCTGGGAGTCTGGTGCTCAGTTCAGGGAGCTTCTGCATCACAGAAGAAAGTTGGTGGGAAAACAGAAAAGTGCAGAGAGAGCTGGGTGTGGAGGAAGCGGCTCAGAGGAGACACAGAGGGCAGGTATGTAATGCAAGAAAGCCAGGAGAGAGTGGGAGAGGCGCAAGAAGGCAAAAGAGATGCTAGAGAGAGGACATACAGAGATTGAGAAACAAAGAGGGAGAAGATGCAAGAAAGATGCAGGAGTGGAGAAATAGACAGAGACAATGGGAAGGGGAAGAAGAAAGAGGGGGTAGGGAGATAGAGAGCAAGTTACCAAAGCTGGCCAGTACGGCCATTTGTCCCCAGCCTCAGGGTCTAGTTTCAGTGACTGGAGCACCAGGACCTTGCAGGTCCAGGATTCCGCAGGGGCACTGCAACCATGCTGAGCAGGGACATTCCTTCTTGCAAGTTGCACAAGTTCCCAGGTCTTTCCTGGTGCCCCTAATTGTGGGTTTCCTGCTGTGTTGGCACCTGGGGTCCCACACTGAGACCCTAAGGGATTTTGTTCCTTTGTGCAGTGATCAGCAGTGAAGACTCTGATTCCTGTGAGGACGAAGAGCTGCTGGAAGCCTCGAGCTCAGCATCAGAGCCTGGACCTGGTGAGAAGGGCAAGGACCACTCGTGCGGTGCTCCAGGACTTCAGGCATCTTGAGTTCAGAGCACCTACTTCCTAATGCATTTCAAATGGAGTTCACTCCACAGCCATGGTCCAGTTATTCTCTGGTGCCCTTTCTCTGCTCTCACCTCTCCTGGCACTTTGGGAAATGGGGTAGGCAACTTTCATTGCATACGTATGCTCTAGTATTGGCATTAGGTTAGAAAGAAGCTAGGATATTTCTGTTGTTTTTCCCTTTCACATTGATCTGGTTTGAATTTGTGTCCCCACCCAAATCTCTTTGAGATTGAAAGACTGCCCCACTGGGTTTCAGATTTGTATGGGCTCTGTAGTCCTTTTGTTTTCACCAATTTCTCCCATTTAGAATGGGAGCATTTACCCAATGCCTGTACCCCCATTGTATCTTGAAAGTAACTAACTTGTTTTTGATTTTATAGGCTCATAGACCTAAAGAACTTACCTTGTCTCATGAGACTTTGGACTATGGACTTTTGTGTTAATGTTGAAATGAGTTAAGACTGGGGGCTGTTGACTGTTGAGAAGGGATTATTGTATTTTGCAATGTGAGAAGGACATGAAATTTGGGAGGGGCCGGGGGAGGAATAATATGGTTTGGATTTGTGTCCCTGCCCAAATCTCATGTTGAATTGTAATCCCAAGTGTTGGAGGAAATGGCTGGAGGAAGGAGATTGGATAATGGAGGAATTCCCCCTTGCTGTTTTCAAGATAGTGAGTGAGTTCTCATGAGATCTGATTTTTTAAAGCACTTCCCCCTTCACTCTTTCTCTCCTCCTTTGCTATGGTAAGGTGCACTTGCTTCCCCTTTGCCGTCCTCCATGATTGTAAGTTTCCTGAGGCCTCCTGGCTGTGCCTCCTTTACAGCCTTCATAAATTACCCAATATCAGGTAGTCCCTTTATAGCAATGCTAGAACAGACTGATACACAGGTGATCAGGCTTACTGTGGTATACTTTAAAAAATACATATTTGATCTTTGTCGAAATAGGACAAGGATCTTTGTCCTTTCTTGGCACAAAGTCCTTAAAACTCTTGGAAATTCCAGGATGATGGGGTCTTATAAGTACTAACCACTTGATTGGAAGATTTTTCCCTAAACCTCGACATTTGAGGAGAAATGAAGGGTGGAAGATTGAGGTCAATTGCCAATGACCAGTGATTTAATCAATCATGCCTATAAAATGAAACCTTGATAAAAACCTCTAAACAACAGGGTTCAGGGAGTTTCTGAATTGGTGACTGCATTTATGTATTGGGAGGTGGGAAGGAGTCTCACCTGTAGAGGGCATAAAAACTCTTTCCCTCCTTCTCTACCTTGCCCTATATTCTTCCTGAGTTCTTCCTGAGTTTTTTTTTCTCCCTGTGCAACAAAACCTTTATTAAAAGGTTCAACTGTTTACTGAAACTGGTAATTTCCAAACTTAAGTTGGGGCAAATGGCTATAGTGCAGAGTAATGCCATCACTGGGCATTGCGAATGCAAGACTGAAGAATTAACATGGATCACTTGAAGTCAGGAGTTCGAGACCAGCCTGGCCAACATGATGAAACCCCGTCTCTACTAAAAAAATACAAAAATTAGCCAGGGTTGCTGGTGCATGCCTTTAATTCCAGCTAATCAGGAGGCTGAGGTAAGAGGTGGAGGTTGCAGTGAGCCAAGATCATACCACTACACTCCAGCCTGGGTGACAGAGTGAGACTGGTCTAAAAAAAAAAAAAAAGATTTGACAGCCACCCCTCAGATGGAGGACCAGGTGCAGGATCTACTCTTTTTGGATGTTCTGGTCAGAAAGAGTGTGACCATCTTCCAGCCACTTGCCTGCAAAGATGAGCCTCTGCTGGTCAGTGGGGATGCCTTCTTTATCCTGGATCTTGGCCTTCACATTTTCCATGGTGTCACTGGGCTCCACCTCCAGGGTGATGGTCTTGCTAGTCAAGGTCTTCATGAAGATTTTCATTTTGACCTGTTAGCATTAGGAGGATACTGCGAATTGCAATTCACGTCCAGCCACCAGAATGCTCCCACAGGCTCACTCGACAAAGCCAGTCATCACTCAGTTGTGTTCTTTATAATAAAACTCTAATCATAAGTAGAATACTTTCTGAGTTCTGTGAGTCATTCCAAGGAATTATCCAACCTGAGGGAAGTCCTGTGAGCCCCCAAAGTTGTAGTCCTCTCCACAGAAATGTGGGTGGCCTGGTCACCCCATTCATAGCTGTTATCTGCAGTAGGGCAGGCTTGTGGGACTGACATCTTAGTCTGTGGGGTTAATGCCAACTCTGGGTAGTGTCAGAGTTGGCACTGACCCCAACTTTCAGAAATTTTGGTAGGCTATGTTGTATTAAATAGACCCTGAACATTTGTAATTGCTAAAATAAATGATTAAATTGAATGGTTGGATATTCAGTTGGTTTCAGGGAAGTTAAAGAACTGATTGGTATTGGAACAATATGTTTGTTGTTGGAAAAGATGCCATACATTTGGCGTCAGAAGAAAACACATACCTATTCATGTTGAGGTCCTTCATTCACGTATTGATTTCCACCCCAAACAACCCTCATCATCTAAAGATCACAAAAGAGTAATTTTTGATTGCTTGAAATGTAATATTGTCATCAAAAATTTGAAAAGACTCAAAAGACCCAAATAATAGTCTTTCTGGTAGGGGTTGTTCAGTGTACCTTGGCTTATCTACAGACTTTTTTGAAAACAATTTTGGAAATAACATGTTTTTATATCTTTACAACATTCATAAGGGGTAGGCAGGATGACTGTCATTATCTTTGTTTTATAGATGCAGAAACATAAGCACATAAATGTTTAAAGATCTTTTACAAAGTCGCACGGAGAATTCAGAATCTCAATTCAGCAGATGTCTGTTTCTTTAGAAAGAAGAGAGGGAAATAGTAATCAAACATGTTTGCAGCGCTAATTGTTAAAGGATTTATAACTTTATTATTTATTTATTATTATTTTATTTTTTTGATGGAGTTTCACTTTTGTCACCCAGGCTGGATGCAGTGGTGTGATCTTGGCTCCCTGCAAACTCTGCCTCGGGTTCAAGGGATTCTCCTGTCTCAGTCTCCCAAGTAGCTGGGATTACAGGTGCTTGTCATCACATCTGGCTAATTTTTGTATTTTTAGTGGAGACAGGGTTTCACAATGTTGGCCAGGCCGGTTTTGAACTCCTCACCTCTGGTAATCCACCCACCTCGGCCTCCCAAAGTGTTGGGATTACAGGCGTGAGCCTCCACACCCAGCCAATTTATAATTTGATTAACCAGCAACTATTTCTCTTCCATGGACTTTATGAACAAAACTAACTTGGAAATACATACTAGGTATATGATGTCAAATGAGGTAAGTTAATGTCAAAATGTACATATTTTTCACAAAAGGCTCATTTTAATTGCTTGATACATTTTTTGACAAGTAAAAAAAGCATTTTTAAAATGGGAGTTTCCACCCTGTTCCTTTGTTTTTGTTTTTGTTTTGAGATGGGGTCTTCTCTGTCGCCCAGGCTGGAGTGCTGTGGTACAAACATGGCTCACTGCCACCTTGACCTTCTGGGCTCAAGTCATCCTCCCACCTCAGCCTCCTAAAAAGTTGGGACCACAGGTGCATGCCACCACAACCAACTAATTTTTCAAATATTTGTAGATATGGGGTCTTGCTATGCTGTCCAGGCTGATCTCAAACTTCTGGGCTCAAACTATACTCCCACCTTAGCTTCCCAAAAGGTTGGGATTATAGGCCTGAGCCACTGACCCTGGGCTTCACCGTCTATTTTTAACAGATGTAGAATGTCTTGAACACTAGAAGTCTATTTGTTACATATGAAAACCATTAAAATAGGTTCTGTTCTGGGTTAAGCGTGGTTGAGTGGGATCGGGGGCAAGGAGGGAGGAGGAGAGATCCCCATACTCATGCAGGGATCCATCTCCAAACATTGCCCCAGGCAAGAAATAGAAGCAGAAGTGTGTGTGATTTTTGACGGCAAATTTCCTTAACGAGTAAGAAAGCAGTTTTCATTCAAAAAAGAGGATTCTGGGTAAGCATATGTTGTGACTTTTTTTTTTTTTGGTTTGACAATGTAGCATTTTATTTTCTGAACCCCCTACGGTGGGGGGTTGTGACTTTTTATAGCTGCAGCAAGTTCTTAGGAGAAATATTGTTTCCTGTTAACTTTGCAACTGACTTTGTATCTATTAATCCAGTCTCATGAATAACAGGGCAGATTTTCACTTTCTATTTTCTCATTTTACTTTTTATTTGTCATTGAACACATAGTGGTTTATCAAAGGGTTTTGGAAAAAACTCTGATTTTAACTTTACAACAATCATGAGATGTAAGCAGAATGAATTATTGATTTCCCTGCTTTTTTAAACTTTTGAGATGAAATCTGGCTCTTGTCCCCTAAGCTGGAGTGCAATGGCGTGATCTCAGCTCACTGCAACCTCCGCCTCACAGGTTCAAGCCATTTTCCTGCCTCAGCCTCCCAAAGAGCTGTGATTACAGGTGCCTGCCACCTGTATTTTTAGTAGAAACCGGGTTTCACCATGTTGGGTAGGCTGGTCTTGAACTTCTGACCTCAGGTGATCCTCCCACCCTTGCCTCCCAAAGTGCTGGGATTACAGGCATGAGCCACTGCACAGCCGATTGCCCTGTTTTATACATGACAAAACCAAAGCCCACAGATGCTTAAGGTGACTTTTCCCTTGTCTTTTTACAATGCCAAATAGGGACTCAGAGAAAGAGTCGGAATTACCATCTTTGATTTCTAGAATTCATTTTTATAGTTGTCACTTTCCTTAAAAGGTAGAGATACACAGAGAGAAATGATCATCACATGATTTTGTATGATTTCAATCCTGATTGTGAATCATGTGAAATGTCAAGTTCAACCATTTTTAATATATACATTCCTGTTTTCCTCTCACTGCTTTATAGTTACCTGGTTGTTGGGGAGAAATCTCTGAAAATGCATGTTAGGAAAAGAAGTATGTCCAAATTAGAATTGTCGGTATACAAATAAAATTTCTACAAAACATTAAATCTGATTGTTTGTGAAATCATTCACAAGTAAAACAAAGAATTCTAGAGTCCAGATTAATATTTTATATTAGGGCAGGCTATGTTATATTAAATAGAACCTGAACGTTTGTAATTGCTAAAATAAATAAAAGTTAATTTTTGCTTTCTGAACGATCTACAGTGTTCTGGGTCATGAGTGGAGTTGGGGGGGCATTGGGAGAGAGGAGAAGGGCCTGTGACCCCCATAGTTGTTCAGATACCTGGGATGCTGGAGGCTTTTAACATTTGAACAGTTATCTTTCAAGATGATCCCGGGTGGGAAAAAGAAGAGTCAGAAGAGACGTGTAGAGGCAAGTAGGAAAGGTAAGAAGCAGAATGGCAGTGAGGTGTAGGAACATGGCGAGCGGGATGACAAAGCTGAACTGCCCATGGTAGGTAAAGCTTTCTCTGTCTCTGGCAACAGTGCTGCTGCCACATTAACCTCTGCTGGTGAGATGCATCTGAGAGTCACACCAGGGTGGTGTCAGGTGGGCCTGGTCTTACCCCTGAGTTCCTGGAGCTTCTCAGGTGCCCCCTAATCTCTTGTTATGTGATTTCCTTTTATGTTGGCTCCTTGAGCACCACTAAAACCTCCAAGGGACTTTATTTCCCTGTTTAGAGTTCAGTAGGAGTTCCTCTGCAAGTGACTAACAGAGTCATAGGAAACCTCTAGCTCAGCACCAAGAAGTGGTCCAGGGAAGGAAGATGCCAAATGGCCACAAACAGGACTTGAAATTAGCACTACTGTTTCCTGATTAATTTTACTCTGATTGCAATTCTTATTATCTGGGTATCTTAGTGTTTTGTTTTGTTTTGTTTTGTTTTGTTTTGTTTTTGTTTTTGTTTTCCTTTCCTGCTGCTATAAAAGAATACCTGAGACTAGGTAATTTGTAAAGAAAAGAAATTTATTTCTCAATACTGGAGGCTGGCTGAGTTCAATATCAAGCTGCTGGCATCTGGTGAGGGTCTTCTTGCTATGTCATCTCATAGCGGAAGGCAGAAGGGGAAGATAATGTGAAAGAGAAAGGAGAAGTGGGCGGAAACTGTGCTATTATCAGGAACCCACTCTCAACTCAAGGATAACTAACCTACTCCCAGGATAATGGAATTAGTCCATTCATGAAAACAGAGCCTTGTGACCCAATTACTTCTTAAAGGTTCCAATCCTCAACACTGTTGCGGATTAAGATATGTTGAGATTAAGTTTCCAACACATGAACTTTGGGGAACACAGTCAAACCACAGCACTAGGTATTTGAGGGAAATAATAAACAATAAATCACTTTAAACTCATGTTCAACAGAATGATTTCTTTTGTCATTTAGTCACACCCTTGAAAAGTCCTCAAAAGGTAGCTGAAATTACTACCTGGAATTTACAGAAAGAAATGTTTTACACGAATCACTTTCAGACAGATATATTAGTTTTGATATGTCATCATACGATAATTTTAATAATAATTTTAAAATTTGTTTTGCCTTTTAAAAAACACATTTTTTGGACATA